TCTAACTCAGTAGAAAGAACAAACTGCTTTCTGCTTCTGTGCTAGCTGCATCTATTGGGTTATATTTTAGCCAGCTGGCTTCTTACAACTGCATCTGTTATTCAAAAAATAAAAACACTCTCTCCTTTAGCAGACATTATATGGCATTGGTGTTATAATTTTTGGCATATAGCACGAAGACACTTATCTAAAATGGATTTTTTTTAATATTAAGTAGACAAATAGGTTTGTTTGATATTCTCTCTCTCTCTCTCTCTCTCTCTCTCTCTCTCTCTCTCTCTCTCTCTCTCATTCTCACTCTTTAAAAAAAAATACTAAATACTAAAGAGTATTGCTCTGGCTGTCATGTTGAAAGTAGACTTACATGTCTCTGTTTTGTATGTTACTATAATAATATACTTGAGGCTGTAAAGAGTTTTGTAAAGAGATTTATTTGGCTAATGATTCTGGTGGCTGTTTTGTAAAGAGATGTATTTGGTTCGTGATTCTGGTGGCTGGAGGAGGCTCTAAACAGCATAGGGCTTGTGTTGACAAAGGTTCCTAGCTGCATTACAGCATGATAGAGACACAGAAAGGGAACCATCCACACAGTGGCCTCATTTTTTAACAGCCTACTTACTGTCTTGGAGAACTAACTAGTTACACGAGATCCAACCTACTTGCTTGAAATGGGCTTTACTCCTTTCTGAGGGTGATGTTCCTATGCCCTAATTATCCCACTGAGCCCTGCCACTTAAAGGTACTGCTTTGTTGTCATTACATTGGGGACCAAGTTTCCCGCACACAAACCTTTGGGGGTGCAAACCATAGTTGTAATAACCTATGTAGCAGGAATGTCCTTTTCCTTAAGACATGTGAAATGCTTTGTCTCCTTCCAAATCTTGATGCTGAAGTTGTCTCTCTTTGCTTTTCCCTAAGCTCTGTTGTGTAGAAGTTATTATTCTACCTTTTGTTAATTATTAGTATTACTCTTAGTCCTATATTTTCTATATGATGATTTTTTTTTCAATAGACTGTAAATTCTCCAAGAACAGGGATTGTGGCTTTGTATATAGTGTCTTTCTTTGTGAGTTAAATTGTTTCCTATAGTTACAACTGAAATCATGAAAATTTTCTTAAATCATACATGAAATGGTATTTTGATGAAAATATCATTCTGTACTTGCCTTTATGTTGTATATTTAAATGCAGAAACTAAATAGCAATAATTTGTGTGATGTCTGTGTACCAAGTATTGTTCAAAGAGTTTCCCTAGATTCACTCCTCTAATCCTCTCTTACCCCTCTGAGCAGGTATTATCACTATCTTCCAGATGGAAAGCCGAAGCAAATACTAGTTATGTAATTTCCACAAGGTTACTCAGCTGTTCAGTGGTGAGCAAGGTTTTAAATCCATGTAGCCTTGCCTTACTGAGTACGCTTAATTTTTTTAATAGGTCATAGACCAGTAGAATTTGAAAACAGTTTTAGGAAGAAACAATACTATTCCTGTAATAAGGACACTTAAAAAATTCTTAACATTTATTCTGACCACCATTCCATTATTTAGGAAACTTATTTTGCTGAGTGTGGTGGTGTATGCCTATAATCTACAGAATCTTGGGAGGCTGAGGCAGGAGAATTTCAAAATTGAGGCCAACCTAAGCAACTTGGTGAAACCCTGTCTTAAAAATAAGAAGGGCTGGAGACACGTAGCTCAGTTGGTAGAGTGCCCCTGGATTTAATCCCAAGTATCAAAAAATGTGTAAAATTTTAATTTATATTAACATATTGAAAATAAAACATTATTAATCTTTAAGTTTAGTTTTATACAACAAAAAAAATAATAGCACATTAATATAAAAATACCTTTAAAAATAAACCTTTGTGTTTTTCCTTATTTAGGGCCTGTATATCTTTGGGATCAAGAACTCGAGCCATTGGAAATGCAGCTAAGAGCCAGGTAAAATTGTTAGGATGACTGTTTTGACTTACAAGAAGAAAATTAATTGAGTCATACCAAGATACCATGTTGGGGGCTGGGGATGTGGCTCAAGCGGTATCGCGCTCGCCTGGCATGGGTGCGGCCTGGGTTCGATCCTCAGCACCACATAGAAACAAAGATGTTGTGTCCGCCGAGAACTATAAAAAAAAAAATACCATGTTAGGTAACTGAGTTGCAAATATGACAGATCCTGACATCTTTGTATTTTTTTTTTTTAAGTCAACTTACAAATTTTATTGGCTAATAGATAACTGCCACACATTCTTCTTACCACCATCCTACTATTCCTGAGTTTAATTTGCAAAGGGAAGCAGAGACCAAAGAGGATTTCTTAGGTACTCAACAAAATTTGAAGAAGTGGGAAAAAATATACTTACGGTTACTGAAAATAAAACTTGCCTCAGTTAAGAGAAGATTTTTCTTTGTACATATTTTAAAATAGCTTTATTTTCCATTTCGGAACTGTGGAAAATACCTATTTATATTGTTTGGAAGGATACCTCATTTTGTAATAGGTAGTCTTCCAGATTCTTTTCAAATGGTCTTCACATTTCCGATAAGTTGATGCTATCTGGCAGAGCCTTCTGTTCAGCTTTCTGACATCTTATCAAGAATTTGTAGAGGAGCAAGAATTCTTGCCCGATTAGTTTCCACAATGCAGCTGTTTAACACCATCTCCTCCAAAATGGTATGTACTTTATCCAAATTAAATGTTATATCTGGTTCAGTCACTTAGCTGAAGTACTCGTCTAAAACTTCCACAAAATGTGGATGAACTCATAATAGCCATCTCATTCTCAGTGTCATTAACTTTAACCACAATGAAGAGAGCTGCATATTGCCGATATATCAGCTTAAAATCCTTATATTCAATGAAAGAGCATTGTTCATTGGATCGGGAGACAGCTCTTTATGACTTCTGTTTCCAGAAGAGCACGCTTATTAATCTCCACATGCTCATGGTACTTAGAAAGTCAGATCTGGCCTTGTTTATTCACCATAAGGAAAAATTTTAGCATTTTTTTTCCTGGTCAGTGTTTTTCCAAATGCAGATTAAAAGTTATAGCAAGGGATGGCTGTCATTGGAACCTGTGTGGCTCGGGGATGATGATCCTGTGATGGGTTTTCCTAGAATACCCCTCCCCCTTTCCTGCTGAAGCTTATTCCCCAACCCTCACTAGCCACATGGTATGGGCTTCCTTGGGGCAGCCATTTTGGCTTTTAGTATGGCATCTGCTGGGGCTTCTCCGGGGGCCTGTATTTTATTAGATGTATTTTGTTTTGAATTATATAAATTCCTTGAATTTTTAAAGTCTTTAGTTATAAAGTTAGGGTATACTGCTATGTGACATTAATTTTTCCTAGTATAGTCACTTTCTATGACAGATACTCTATCTAGAAATGCACTTCAGTGACTAGTAAGCAATGTTTTTGTAAAAGAATGTGGGGTTACCCACCAGGGTAATGCCATGTTGCTTTCACTATATGTGGAATTTGTTTAACCCATTTTGTCCTAGCATCCCAGGTATAATATTTGCCCTGTGTCCTATTTATAGGATGATACACTAAGACACTAATCGATCAGGTGTCCAACTCACATTTTCATACTTAATGATAATAAAGGGTATATAAACTCTGTTATTATTTCCAGCCTACTTAAATGCATCTGTTAGTTTTGTTAAAATAGTTACAAAATGGAAACCTTTGAATTTAAGTAATTTCAACTGAAATACTAATCAATAGAATATAACATCAATGTGTAACATTGCTTTTTCTTTTTTTTTAACTTCCATTCACCAAAAACATGTAACAGTTATTTCTTACATTTCATATGTATACCTGGATTGTCTCTTACTTTTGAAATTTTCTTCAATGGGTTTTATTTTCCACTTAGGACAGAATAATTAACTCATTTATCTGGGGATGTTTTGGTTATGATGTTTGCCATACCCATCTTTTTATAATTGCCCTGTATGTGAGAGTGTTTTTATCCTGACACGATTGCACACACCTGTAATCCCAACCCAGCAAGGAGGCTGAGGCAGGATTCCAAGTTTGAGGCCAGTCTGGGCAACCTATCAAGACTTTAATCTCATAATGAAAATAAGAAAGGGGTTCTGGGGTTGTAGCTCAGTGGTAGAGCACTCACCTAGCATCTGTGAGGCACTGGGTTCGAGCCTCAGCACCACATAAAAATGAAATAAAGATATTGTCTCCCTACAACTAAAAGATAAATACACAAATAAAAAAGTGAGGGTTGTGGATTTAGCTCAGTTGTAGAGTGCCTCTGAGTTAAATCCCCAATATTGGGTGGAGGAATGTTTTTATTTTGAGTTTTCCTCTCACATTCAGGCTGATCTAAGTGTATCATAGATAGTCAAAAGAAACCAACCCACGCCAGGTGGCAGTGGTGCACACCTGTAATGCCAGCAGGTCAGGAGGCTGGGGTAGGGGGTTTAAAGCCAGCCTCAATAATGGTAAGGTGCTAAGTAACTCAATGAGACCCTGTCTCTAAATAAAATACAAAATAGGGCTGGGGATGTGGCTCAGTTTCTGAGTGCCCCTGAGATCAGTCCCCAGTACTAAAAAGAAACCAACCCGTAAAGTCAGTTCTTCTAAGAGCTCATCAACATAGTAACAACATCATTGTAGTTTTCACCTCATAATTGAAGATCAAGATCTTTTTGGCTTTCAGTCACTAGGAGGGCAGGTACTGGATCTTAGTAACAGTCTATAGTTTGAACTACATACTCTTAAAAAAAAAAAAACAGTTGTTGCAGACTACAAGACATTTACAAATTAAAATACTTGAAATTCACATCATGCTACATGGAAGGGGTTTAATTTACTTGCCTAAAAGCAAGTTTCAGCAGTGCAGGCAGCATACTAATACATGAGAGTACTCTTAATTCATTTCACAGTGAATTAAATATTAAGAAAAGAAAACTGTACCAAAAATAGAAACAGTTTAAACAAAAATAGAAATGAGAGTGGTAAGAAGAAGAAATCAAAAATACTAATTCACTGGAGTAGAAGTATTGAGGATAATGAAGGGATGAATTATAGGTAGACTTTTATTATTGCAAAGTTTTAAATTTTGTTCCCTCTCTTTTGGAGACGTCAGAGGGGCATTTGGGAGGTGATAGTTAAAATGCATAACTGTCTCATTATAACTTTACTGCGAATTGGAAACCAGGAAAATGAAAAAGTATACGTCTGAGCCTGGGTGTGTATATAAGAAAAAGGGACATGGTTTTAAGTATTAGGATAGTATTTTTATTTTACATTCATTAAGTCATTGATAAATAATTTGAGTGTTTACTCCCAACAGATAGTCACAAATGTAAGAAATACAATTCATGGCTTCAAAAAACTTCACGGGCGATCATTTGATGATCCCATTGTGCAAACTGAAAGAGTCAGGCTTCCTTATGAACTGCAGAAGATGCCCAATGGAAGTGCAGGAATTAAGGTAAGTTTTGTATTCCTAGAATACAATTATATCTCCTGACTGGATACAGTTACATACACCACACTACCAAGAGATGGGCAGTTTTTGTAATTTAGTGAATGCAAAAAAAATCCAATTTTAATAATAACTTTTAAATTCAAAGAATGCTCTTGTCAAGGAAGAAATTAACAACTTTTAGGGGACAAAGCAGAGGTACATGTGATTTAGAAGAGTAGATCCAGAAAATATGTTAATTACTATAAGATTTTCTAATTTTCAAGAAACTTTAATGTACTGAGAAGTGTAAAAGAAATTGTTCTTCCAAAAGATGGAGCCTGGATTTTTAATTCTATCTCCTGAAACAATAAGTTTAAGACCAGTTTTTAAAAAATGGATTTATCAGAAACTGATGGGATACCTGAGAACACAGTTATCATTATGACCCAGTAATTGCACTCTTTTAGTATGTACTGAAGAAAATTGAAATGTGTCTATACAAAAATTTGTACATGAATATTCATAATAGCATTATTTATAATGGACAAAAAGTGGAAACAATTCAGGTGATCTAAGCAAATAATAGATGGTTAAACCAAATAGGATATATGAATACAGTGGAATATTGTTTGGCCAAATAAAGGAAGTATTAATTTGTACTTATAACATGTATGAACTTTGAAAACATATAGTCTGAGCCTGTTTATTTGCAATGTCTAGAATAGGGTGTATCCATAGAGGCAGAAAGTAGATTAGTGACTATTAAGGATGAAGGGGGAATTGAGCTGGGGAGTAAAAACTAACCAGTATAAAACTTCTAGGGGGTGATGAAAATGTTTTGCAGTTAGATGTAGTTATCAGTGCTATGTTGTAGGTGAAATTGAAGATCAAGGCTTATGGACTGGGAAACTAGAAGGGTTAAGACAACAAATGAGATAGAAAATAAATTCAGGTATCCTGTAGATCTGAACAGCCCTGCTTAATGGTTATTTAAAGCAATTTTATTCTGTTCTAGGTTAAACTAATTAAAAATTCCTTTTCTTTTATTCTTTAACATGAAAATAAATAGTGCTTTGTTTATAAAAGGCTGATATAAACAGAATAGTTTTAAAGAAAGCCACACAAAATTTTTAGCATCTAATATATTTATAATGAGAGTCTGTACCTAGGTGAAAAGAATTTTGTTCTTTTCCCCATAATAACACAGGAAGTACAATAAGTAAATATTTTTAAACTTAATCTTTTTAAACAAATTCTGATTCTTTTTAGTTTAAATACATAACATTAGAATTCATTTTGACAGTTATAAAATTGTGGAATATAATTTGTTGTAATTCACAGTACTTCTCCTGACCCCAGTCCTCCTTCCCCTGTTCCCTTCCTCTACTCTCTTGATCTGTTAGTGTCTTGTGCATATACATAAAGGTTAGATTAACTATGGCATGTTTATATATGTACATAGGAAATTGAGGTCAGATTCAGTCCACTGTTTTTCCTTTATCCTATCCTCCTGTTCCTCCTCCTCAACCCCCACCCTTCTCTACTTTACTAATCTTTCTTTATTTTGATGGAATTCCCACATACTTTTATGTTTGAGAAGGTTTTGAAAATGCCAGTCAGTCCTGTGTTGGAATAGTCTTCATCTTTTGAAGACTTTAAGATTTTCAGTGTTCAACTTTGTGAATTTTATTCAGTTATTTTTTTATACATGCATTTGAATATAATTTGCTGTTTTTTTTCACCTTTTAAAATATTTTTATGCAAAGGAATGCTATACTATGGTACCCCCCATAGACACACTCAGATCATGGTATTTGATTCAATTTTTCTTTATTTTATTAGGGTTTATTTCTCCTCTCTTCTTTGGTTTGTTTTATTTATTTTTTATTTTTTTACAGTATTTGTTTTTGAACTTTCTTATAAATGGACACAAGTGGATATCAATTTCAGTTATGATTCAAAGAAAATCTTTTTTAAAGAGAATTTTTAAATATTTATTTTTCAGTTTTCGGTGGACACAACATCTTTATTTTTTTTATTTTTATGTGGTGCTGAGGATTGAACTCGGCCCCCCACACATGCCAGGCGAGTGCATTACCGCTTGAGCCACATCCCCAGCCCTCTTATGTGTTGCTGGGCATTGAACCCAGGGCTTTGCATGTGCGAGGCAAGCGCTCTACCACTGAGCCATAACCCCAGCCTCTCAAAGCAAATCTTACATCATTATATTTATATACACATCTGAGCTGTACCCAAATACATTGTGCTGCTTTAGAGTTTTTTCCAGAAGTCTTCCAAATGTCAGCATCTCAGTTCATCAGTTCATAGTACACAAATGGAGCACAGTTTTTCATTTCTCATTGTACACAAAGTAGCGTCACACCATTCGTGTCTTCATACATGTTCCTAGGGTAATGATGTTCATCGCATTCCACCATCTTTCCTACCTACATGCCCCTTCCTCTCCCCTCCCTCCCCTTTTCCTTTTTTTTTTTAATATGGAGTTTTTTTTTCCTGATGATTTCATTTTCTGACTAAAGCTTTCATTTTAAATCCACGAAGGGTTTTTATTTTCAAAGGAAAATTTTTTTTCTTGTTCTTTAATTTATCATGGTTGGAAAATATGATATAGTAAAAATAAAAATTGCTTGGGGCGAGGTGGAGGATGTAAGACAGTAGGGCCACTTGAAAATAATCTCCTAGGATGTAATTGTATGTGTTGAAATAGTAGGACCTCAGAAATGAGATGGTACTGTTTTTAATGAAGTCATTATTTCAGAGTGACAGTCTTTTTGGAATAAAACTTTCTTAAGCCCAGGACTTCTTATCTTTTTTACTGTTGTATGTCACATATAGAATAGATGTTCGTTCACAAGGTATTTGTTGGATAAATAAATGACTCAAATAACTTTTGGTTTAAGGTGCGGTATCTAGAAGAAGACAGACCTTTTGCAATTGAGCAAGTTACTGGAATGCTGTTGGCCAAGCTTAAAGAGACTTCAGAAAATGCCCTGAAGAAACCAGTGGCTGACTGTGTGATTTCAGTAAGTTTTATTTCAGTAAATCATATTTTCTCAAGAAATGTTAATCCATTAATGATAGAAATGTTTTTCCCCTTTATACTTTTCATCCCTTACCCAGAAAATAACCTTAAGTTCATTTTGACTTTTCCATTAAAAAAAAAATTATTTGCTAAAGTTCTAGATTGAACTTAACATGTCACTTGTAACAATCAGGGAAACTTAAAATTAATGTATGTGAATTCCAGCAACTCAGGAGGCCAAGGCAGAAGCATTTCAAGTTTGAGGCCAGTCTCAGCAACATAATGAGACCCAGTCTCAAAATATACAAAAATTTTTTAAAAGGGACTGGGGATGTTGACGCACCCCTGGGTTCAATCTTGTGCCCCAAATACTAAGGTATGCTTTACTGGTACCACTTAAAGACTTTTCCCAAATAACACCCAACTTCCCATGTCTGGGGACTTTAATGTTTTATGGCATATATGTGAATGTAAGGTTGTTTTGGTTTTTGTTTTTATTGTTGTTTTGGTATTGGGGATTGAACTCAAGGGCATGTAACCATTGACCCACATGCCCGCCTTTTTTTCAATTGTAAGACAGGATCTTGCTGAGTTGCTAAGGCTGGCCTTGAACTTGTGATCCTCCTTCCTAGGTCTTCCAGGTTGCTGAGATTACAGGCATGTACCATTGTGCCCAGCTGGAAAGATCTTTCTTGAAGGGTTTTTTTTTTTAATCTCATGTGCTTTTTTAAAATTCGTACATTTTGTACAGGATGGTTGGTTTTGTTATGGCTTATTGGTACATGCATATCATTTGGTCAATTTTCCTCCTCACAAACCTCCCCTTACCCTCATCTTTGCCAGAACCCCGCCCCCTTCTAACCTATTGGTCTCTTTTGTATTCTAAACAATAAATATAATTGTTGCTTCGCTCTCGAGACCCCATTGAATGTAGTTGGTTTTCAGTTTTTTCACCCAAATGTGAATATTATTAAAACTTGGCTATATAAATCTTTTTCAACAGCATTTGGAAATTTTTATGAGAGAAAAACAGAGTTTAATATTCATTTTCTAGCCATTTAAAACTGGTAAATAAAAGAGATTATTATTGTTTGATTTTTTGCTATTTTAAACATTTTATATACATTAACCTTTTTGTCAGAAACACACTTTGAAGTAGATATTATTCATCCCAATTTTATGCCTAAAAATAAACATTAAAAAAAATGCAAGGCAACTAAGGCAAGGTGGTGCATGCCTGTCATCCCAGTGGCAGAAGAATTGTGAGTTTGAGGCCAGCCTTGGCAACTTCATCAGACTGTGTCTCAAAATAAATGAAAAAGGGCTGGGGGTGTAGCTCAGTGATACAGTTAGTACTCCTGGATTCAGTCCCAGTATTGCCAAAGAAAAAAGTTGTTTGTTTTTTTTTGTTTTTAATAAAAATTGAGGTGTAGGGATAGTTAATTCCTAAGCCCATACTTAACAACTCTTTAGTTAATATTTATTGTCTCTTGAATGTATATATCAGAATGGTGCACATTTTTAGAAAAAATCCATCTTAAGTTCAAATTTCTTCTTAATTTCACTGTACTTTTACTTTCATGTCAGAACAAAGTAATACAAACTTATGCTTAACTTTGTGGTTAGTACAGTAAACACAATGTGAGCTCTACATGGGCAAGTAAATGAATTTTTGTCAATAGCAAATCAGGGTAAGTCAGCTTTTCAAACAAAATTCAGCCAGACTAACTTGTTAAAGAAAACAGATATCTTAGGCTAAAACTCCATAATGAGGTGGCCACATTAGTTTGGCCTCTAATTAGAGTGCCTAACAGTGTCTTGGCAGGAGTGTTTGTGGAAGGCAGGCTCACATTGCTAAACTGGAAGCCAAAGAGATTGGGTCCCACGGTTCCTTCCTAGAGCATCTCCCCTCATTGACCTAAGGATCCCAGTAGGCCCCACCCCTTTAAAGGTCCACAGTGAGAACTGAGTTTCCAACACATGGACCTTTTGGGGACAAACAACACCCAAATCATAGCAGCTAGACTAACATGGCAGTGTTTAAACTAATAGAATTTTGGCAGTCCTGCCATGTTACTAATTATGTTTAAATTAGTGTTCATATGTTAAGTCAAATCGTTATGGTACAGAAATGGTCAAACTTAAAAAAACTAGCACTAGTATTCTTCCTCATTTATTTAATTAATACACTTTGTCTTAAATTACACACAAGTTTAATGTTTACATTTTCAAATAATAAAATCTATTACATCAAACTTATATACTTGATTATTGTTTTTAAATATCAGATTCCTAGCTTTTTCACTGATGCTGAGAGAAGATCTGTGATGGCTGCAGCTCAGGTTGCAGGCTTAAATTGTTTAAGGTTGATGAATGAAACTACTGCAGGTAAGCACACACTCTGTAATTTGAAAGTCACTGTAAGAAAAGTATTGTTAAACAGTTTTTTTCCAATGAGTAACAACATTTTTCTTTTTCTTTTTTGTAATATGCTGATTCTTATAAGCCAGTTGCTTTGGAATATTACATTTTGGCGGAGGTTAAATTTGTTTTAATTGCTTTAGATTAGATGTGATTATTATACAGTTGTAGATAGTAGGGAAAAATTTAACTTTGAAACTAATAGTATATATTAGGGAAAAAATTAACTTTGAAACTAATAGTATATATTACTGTACTGTGTATTAAAGTACAGTGAGTGACTTATCTCGTGTTTTCCAAGTAATTTCTATACTAGAATTAACCCAATTCTTTGTTCTTACACAGTTGCACTAGCATATGGAATTTATAAACAGGATCTTCCCCCGTTAGATGAGAAACCAAGAAATGTAGTATTTATTGATATGGGACATTCTGCCTATCAGGTCTCGGTTTGTGCTTTTAACAAAGGAAAACTTAAAGTAAGTAAATAAATGATTTGCTGTATTAACTTATTATTAAGAGCACAGACTATATAGAGAACTTTAATGACTGGGCTTAAATCTTGGCTCTGCCCTTTAAAAACTGTGACCTTAACCTTTCTAAACTTTAGTTTCTTTTCTAAGGATAATATCAGTAACTGCCTCCTAGAATTTTTGAGAATAGAGCAAGTTAACACATAGCAAATGATTGGAAGCCTGGTATATAGCAGAAGCTATATGTGTTAGCTATTTTTATCATTATTACTTTCTTGTTAAGGTGTTAAATCTGCTATCTGGGAACATAAAGTGTCTATAAATAAACTTATAGGAACTACTTTCCAAAATAATTCACATTGTTTTTAGAAAACTTTCTATCTGGGAGTCCTTATAGTAATATTCAATAATATAGCACTATTAACCTCATGTTTTTATAATCTATATTTTGTTTTACATTTGTTTTCATGTTGACTATTTGTCCAGATTTAGGCAAGTTCTCTCCGTTATGCATGTGAGTAGAGTACTTGGAAGATAAAGTGCTTTTGTTTATCCAACTCTGAAAGAGCCTTTTATCCTGCAGTATATAGTACTATAACAACATCCCTTATAATCCACAAATTAAAGGGAAATAAACGACTCATGCTAAATATGGAGTTGTTTTTTATGTGAATTGGTTTAATTCTTGACCTTTAACCTTAAATTTTAACTTAATTTAAAAAGCATTTTCTTTCTTTCCTAAGCTTTTCTCTTAGCTACCTTAGAGTTTAGTGAACTATAATTTGAAGATCAGAGAGCTTTTTGAAGACCACAGCACTTCTTTCCAGAAGAATGCATGCTTGTTCTGGTTACATACCAAGATAATTTTACGTAACACTGGACTTCATAAGCAGACTGCACATGAATTTTCCATGCTAGTTTGTTGATTAGACATCACTCTCAGATGATGCTCACATCCTTTTGTGATGTTCCCATTCCGCTTTCACCTGCTCTTGTGAAGAAAGAGCTGAATCCCCAACAGTGGGTTTCACTTTTAGTATTATCTCTAAGTGTGTACGTATTTTACCCTGGGGCGGATGGGGGGAGGGTTCTGTGGGGTTGAAGTACTGTGGCTCATCCCTTCCACAAAACTATCTGGGAGCCTATTGCTCATAAAACTTTTCAAAATTTTGTTTCTGCTTGCTTATTTGCTCTCTGAAGTATTCTTAGGTTCTTATATTCTTATGTTGGAAAACTGTTTTTTAATTTAATTTTTTTTAAATGCCTAAATCCTGACCTGTTAACTGACAATTATATTTGAGTATTTTTAGATTTTCTTTTTTTTAGGTGTTTTTTCTTGTATATATGCTTAGAACTTTTCCTGTCAAAGTTGATTTTTTGGTTCAGTATTATTGTAAAATCAAAGAGGCTGTGAGGTAATGAAATTTTAGATGTAATCAGTTATTTCAGAATTATTATGGTATGGATCTAACTTTTTTGATAAGTTCTTTAACTTTGTTTTGTTATAATTTTAGAGATTTTTCTTTTCTCATTGTTTTCTTTAAAGAATCTGTTTCTCAAAATTTAGTTTTGCTTTTTTAATTAAACAGGTCTTGGCTACTACCTTTGACCCATATTTGGGTGGCAGGAACTTTGATGAGGCCTTAGTAGACTACTTCTGTGATGAGTTCAAGACCAAATATAAGATAAATGTAAAAGAAAACTCTCGGGCCTTGTTACGTTTGTATCAGGAATGTGAAAAACTCAAGAAGCTAATGAGTGCAAATGCATCCGATCTTCCACTAAACATTGAGTGTTTCATGAATGACCTTGATGTTTCTAGTAAAATGAACAGGTACCATGTGTTTTTCAATTTGAAAATTGTTTCCTTATTATGTTCAGATCACATCAGATTTGGGAAGACAGGGGGTTGTGCCAGAATTGAACTCAGGGGCACTGGATCACTGAGTCACTTCCCCAGCCCTATTTTGTATTTAATTTAGAGAGAGGGTCTTATCAAGTTTGGTAGCGCCTCTCTTTTGCTAAGGCTGGCTTTGAACTGGTGATCCTCCTGCCTTAGCATCCCAAGCTGTTGGGATTATAGGCGAGTGCCACCTTGTCCAGTCACATTTGATTTTTTAATTGTTATTTTAGAAGGTATGCTTAACTTTTTATCCAAATATAATGAGTTTTGTTGTATTTTCTCACAGGGCTCAATTTGAACAGTTGTGTGCTTCCCTCTTTGCCAGGGTTGAACCACCTTTAAAAGCAGTAATGGAGCAAGCTAGTAAGTGGAAATTGTTTTACTGTCAAAACTGTAGCATGTGGTAAAAGCAAATAAAAACTTCACTTTCTTTAGAAGACTTGTATTTCTCATTTTAGATTAAATTATTCATTCTTTAGTCATAAGATAGGACACTAGAATTCTGAGTTTATGAAAACTTGATCCTTTGATTGTTTACATCATAAAGCCAATGTTCTGTTTGGAGATGTGAGTATATATAGAAGATTTTTAAATTGCCCATTTAACTTTAATTATTAATTAAATCATTGGGCTATGATTACTTTTATTTATTTAATTTTGGTGGGCAATTAAAAATACCTTCAATAAGTCTAGTAGAGGAAGGAGAATCCAAGAGGGGAGGGAGGATGGGAGGGGAAAAGGGAGGAATCATGAACTGAAACTGATTTCCATGTAGCTATGAGTGAACAGGATGAACCCAACTACTATGTATAACAATAAAGCTCTAATAAAAACGAAAAGGGAAAAAAACCTTCTATAGAGGATACTGGGAATGTAGCTCAGTGGTAGAACACTTACTTGCCTGGCATATAGGAAACCTCAATTCAGTCTCCAGTACCACTCATGTGAGTGCATGCTCACACACACAATCATGATTTAGCTGGGTGTGGTGGTGCACACATGTAATCCCAGGTACTTCAGAGGCCAAGGCAGAAACAAGCAAAATTCAAGGCTGGCCGGGGAAAGTCAATAATACCCTGTCTCAAAATTAAAAGAATTGAGGATGTAACTCAAAGGTGGAATGCCTCCTGAGTTCAAGTCCCAGTATCCAAAACAAAACAAACCAGAAAGTAACCTCCTACAGAAGTTTGTAAGGTGAAAGTGAGAAAATTGAAGGAGGCTGACTACATTTAAAATATAAGAGGAACTTTTCTGTCCTATGATGACTCCATCATCTGGACCAAGTCCGGTATATATGACATAGATAACTTACATTAATTCTGCCTTCAGTTGTTTACATCTTTCTGCCTTCAGTTGTTTACATCTGCTATTTTATCTTCTTTTGAGCATAGTAAAATATTTATCTTTTAAAATCTACTTTCCAGTGCCATCTATTAGCAAATTTTGAAGGCTATCTTACTTTTCTCATTGAAAAACTTCTTATTTCCAGACTTACAACGGGAAGACATAAGTAGTATAGAAATTGTAGGAGGAGCAACACGGATTCCTGCAGTGAAGGAACAGATCACGAAGTTCTTCCTTAAGGACATCAGCACCACCCTAAATGCTGATGAAGCTGTTGCAAGAGGATGTGCATTGCAGGTTGGTTATTTTATTCCAGAATGTGAATTTTGCAAACATGGGTCTTATGTCTGAAAAGGAGGCCTTTTTAATATAATGTATTCCAACTACATAACAGTCTAAAGTCATTGAAATTATTCCTAATAAGTTTCTGTTGTTCTCACTCATATTATTGAACTCTAATAAGATTAATATGCCTGTAATTACACTGAAAGAATGCTGATTTTATAAATTCTTGGAACTATGCCTATTTAAAATTCCTTGTGGAGATTTTTTAATGTTCTTATTTCATTTATTTAAAGTTACATAAGAAGTACTCTGGCCCTTTAAAATTTTCACTAGTCATTACCAAAGGAGCAATTGTTTTTAAAATAACAGTTTCACTGTAAGGACTTTATTAGGCAGTTCAATCAGGGATAACTCTTGCTATGTATTTACTGATATAAGTATGGTATATACTTGTTATTTCAGTGTGCAATTCTGTCACCAGCATTCAAAGTGCGTGAATTTTCTATAACAGACCTGGTTCCCTATTCAATTACATTAAGATGGAAGACCTCTTTTGAAGATGGAACTGGGTAAGTTTTGTGTGTTTTTTTTTAAAGAGCTTATCCCAACTCTTTATAACCTACTTTTAATATAATGCTGACTTACAAATGAAAATCAGAATCTAAAAATGTAAAAAACCTTGAATTTCCTGTAACCTAAGTCCCTTACCCCATTTTATAGGTGTAATCACCTTTAATAATAAGAAAAGAGCTGTCCCAGGTCTTTTCTTTGAATATCCACAAATAAAAGCATGCTTCTATTTAGTACACATCAGATCACCTGAACATCTGTAGTGTAGCTTGTTTCTTAAAAAAAAAAAAAAGAAAAAAAGAAAGAAAAGAAAAAAGTACCTTTCCATCTGAACAGAAAATAACTCTTCAATAGTTGTGTATGCCTTAATAAATTGAACCAAAACACTACATTAAGTCACATTTCTGCTATATTTCAAGCACTTTTATTAGCTTTGCACACACATCCTTGTCCAGTTTGGAATATCTGAAAAATAGCAGTAGGTGGAGAATTATTGAGCCAGAGTATACATACTGGAGGATTATAACTTGTAAGGTATTTGAATGACTTTGTTTTGACATCAGTTTCAGAGCAAGAAGTATTCTGTAAAATTTAATATCATTTAAAGTTATAAGTTATCTAGGAAGAAAATTATAAGAAAAGCATAGGGGAGCTAAATTAGAAAGTAAATGTATCCAAATACGTACAGTAAGAAAAAAGATATTGATAGGTACTTGAAAACAAGTTTGGAAAGTTATATAAATTGGAGTTTTTCAAATTTGTATAAGTAAGGTATTAGGATCATCATAGTTTTAAAAAGTGAGTTTCTGGGCTACTATAAAGTATAGTCTTAAACCTCATTTAAGGAATGGGAATTGTGTGGATTTTAAAATTTTGGGGTCAAAAAAAAAAACTTCCTGGTCAGGTGTGGTGATGCATGCTTGTAATCCCAGTTTCTCTGGAGGCTGAGGCAGGAAGGTGGCAAGTTCAGGGATAGCCTCAGCAACTTACAAGGCCCTAAGCAACTTAGTGAGATCCTGTCTCAAAATAAAAAAAGGGCTGGGGATTTAGCTCAGTGGTAATGTGCTCATGGGTTCAGTCCCTAGTACCAAACAAACAGAAAACCTTCATGTATTTGGAGAGGGAGGTAGAAAATTCTTAAAAGGACAATATTACACCAATTGAGAAAACTGGGATTTGGATGATAGAATCAACAGAGAAATATACCTACTAAGTATACATTCATACCAGGTATCACTCTTGTTGAGAAGAAAATGCCCAAGGAGAGAGAGTGTACATTCACTCATAATAAGACAAAGGGGTAAAATGTTAATAGTACCTAATCTAGGCAAAGGATATGCAGTATTCATTGACCATTCTTCTGTTTTTGCATCCTTCTATGAGTTTATTTCCAAATAAAAGGGTTTTGTTTCTTTTTTCTTTTTGTTTCTTTTTTGTTGTTGTTTTTGTTTGTTTCCTTAAGGGAACAGGAATAAGAAGGGTTTCATATGGTAAGTATTTTGGAAGTCAGTGGGCAGGGCTTGATCCTCAAATATCAACCAGAAGAAGAAAACCTATAATCCCTACATCTTTAACCTAAAATATGCATATTCTCAGGAAAATAGTTATTCAGGTAATTTTTCCTTTTAGTAGTATATAATTGTCCTTTTATGGCAGACATTCTGAAAACTTGTCAAAATTCATGTTTGTAATAAGCAAAGTAGTTTTTTAACCTTTTTCATAGAGATCCTTGGAGTTGCTGCATGTGAATTAAGAATGAAATGGATCTGTAATTAAGTTAATAGGCACACTTTTTGTTTTCTAAATGTCTTTCCCACTGTATTTTAGGGAATGTGAAGTATTTTGTAAGAACCATCCTGCCCCATTCTCAAAAGTCATTACTTTTCACAAGAAGGAACCATTTGATCTAGAAGCATTTTATACTAATTTGCATGAAGTGCCTTATCCTGATCCAAGAATTGGTAAGAGAACTCAAAATATTTTTTCCATGAATTTTTGGCCTTTTATAAATAATGTGGAATCAAAGAAACAAATGAATTGTTTCAGCTAAACCAGCTCTGGATTTTTAAAGATATTTGTACTTTTCTGTAAATAGGTACTTTAGTGCTCGGTTTATTTTTAAGATGACAGCAAGTTTGAGTATTCTTAATTCATTTTGACTTATTGGCCTGCAAACATTGTGTGAAGGTTACTTTTCAATGAAATTGAAGTTGTGCTGCTAGACTGAATTTATATTCTGATTTTAAACTTTACTGGCAACAACTATAATGAATATTATTAGATTAACATGAAAGTGGGAAGACGATAATATCTATTTTCATTGAGTAATCTCTTCATATAATATAAAAATGCAATTTAATAGCATTTCAAAGAGAAGGAATAATTAAGTTTTTAAGTTTTTCTATATTGATAACTAAAAGAGAAACTATAGCTTATTTCATATATGTCATTTAAAGTGTACAAACTATTGAGTGTTATATTAGTTTGTTACACTGCTATAATAAGTTCTGCAAAATAGATGGCTTGAACAATACGAATTCATTATCCCAGTTGTGGAAATGAAAGTCTGAAAACAAGGTATCCGCAGTTGTGGTCCCTTCTGAGGGCTATAAAGAAAGGATCTGTTCCAGGCCCCTCTCCTTTATTGGTAGATGACCTTCTTCATTTTGATATCATGTCTTCTCACATATGTGTATGTGTGTGTTTCCAAATTTCTCCTTTTCGTAAGGACACTGATCATACTGGATTAATGACATCCATTTTAATGACCTCTTTAAAATCCCTATCTCCAAATACACAGTTGTGTTCTGAGGTACTAAGATGGTTAGAACTTCAACTTATGAATGTTAGGACACTACGCAACTCATCAAAAGGTTATCTAGATTTTTTTGCCTGATATTCTCTCTTGTACTGTGAATATCATTAATTTTGTTATAGGAAAAATACAAAAAAAGTGGAATTGCTTTATGAATTAACCAGGTTGATTATGATTTATAAAACTCAATAGTTAAGAAGTAATGTATGCTAGGCTTGCTAGCGCACGCTTATAGTCCTGACAGCTTGAGAGGTGAGGCAGAAGGATCACAAGTTCAAAGCCAGTCTCAGCAAAAAGCAAGAACCTAAGTAATTTAGTGAGACCCTGTCAAAATACAAAATAGGGAAATAGGGCTGGGGATGTGGCTCAGTGGTCAAGTCCCCATGAGTTCAATCCCCAGTTACCTCCCCCTCCCCCCACCAAATAAAAGGGTAATAATTTGTTTTCAGACTCAGAAATTGGATTTAGTTTAATGGCTTCAGAGTACAAGTGTTAAAATGTATTGAGAAGTTAAATATTGCCTTTGAATTAAATTTTCCCAGGTTAAAATAGCAACTCTTTTTCTACCATTGATTATCTTGAGCAAGTAAATCTTTTTCAGTCTTAATATCAGTTTTGTTATGATATAAAGAAAATAATGGGGAAAGCACCTGCCCCTTAGTAATTAGTATATAATTGTTTGACAAGATCTTAAAGATAGTAGTAAAATTAGTGAATAAAGAATTGAATGAAAGGTTGCTTGAGGAGTAGCTCAGGTCGACTGCTTGTCTAGCATGTGCTGAGGCCCTATCTGAAACTCATGTACTGATCAAAGCTCTTTTTTCCTTAAGGGAGCTTCACTATTCAGAATGTTTTTCCACAGTCTGATGGTGATAGTTCCAAAGTGAAAGTTAAAGTTCGGGTTAACATCCATGGAATCTTCAGTGTGGCTAGTGCATCGGTAATTGAGAAGCAGAATGTGGAAGGGGATCACAGTGATTCTCCTATGGAAACAGAAGCTACATTTAAGAATGAAAATAAAGATGATGTGGTATGTAGAAATTCTGTCTCAAGATTTCCCTGATAAATACATACAATATCTTAATTATAACTGCTATTCTGATGGTTGAATACATTAATTTCTGATATTTTGTTTTGAATTTCTGCTATGGTCAGTGAAAAACTTAGATTTCTATTTAAATGATACATATTTTTGACATTGTAATACACTTTTCAGGAGATTTGTGCATCTTTCATAACATTAAGGTAGAGCATGTGAGTTTGAAATTATTTTTTCTAAGTTCTTCATTTCCATTAAAAGTATAATTTGCTGTGGCTAGGTATGTACAGATAAAACCAATTCAAAATCAGTTTTGCACTGTACACAGATGTATACAAATAGACTTCTTCAGGATTTAGTAGTTAGAGGATATCTGCAAAGGAATATGCTGTATATTCAATAACATTCAAGTAAAGATTAAAAGTTACGTTACACTGAATTGATTCTTATTGTACTTATAAATGAAGGAATCTTAGGGGAACTTGATTATATTTCATTACACAAATTGTTTTTAGTGGTATTTGTTAGATTTTTTTCCCCAGTCATATTTGAAGATCTACCCTAGATTTTCTTGCCTTCTACCAAGTACTTCCTATAAAGACTGTGGCATCCCCCCTCATCATGTTGCCCATCTGCTATCTATTATTACATATTCCTTGTTTAAATTGAGCAGGAGGAAGTGTCCTAGTCTATTAATGAAGATAATTAATTTTTCATAAGGGATTTCTATGTAGATGTTCCTAAATATTCTTTTTATGATTTATACATTCAAGGGGGAAAGAATGGTAACTAACATTATGGATCATATATTAAGCATTGATTGATGAACACATGTTATCTATATAATCTCTTTTTAAATCTCTACCATAGCTGATAAAATAGGTGTTGAATAAATCGTCAGTTTATTTTCTCATGCTTCATGATAATAAAGGTATGATTTTAGTATATTTTGTAGAATACAGCCTATGTGCTTTATTTCTTAGAAGCATTAAGATTCTCTGGGATTTCTCTTTAATTTTGTATTTAGAAAAATTTTAAAAAAGCTTAAATATCCATTATAAAGCCACCCCCCCAAAAAAAATATGTACCAATTCAAAGCAGAATCTTTTTTTCCATTTTAAACTAAGATAGCTCTGATTTTCCTAAAAATTGATACACTATATATATCTGAGAAAAATTGATACCTCTCCTTACATTCATTATCTAGTCATACTAAGAGGTTACCTTAGACCATGTAACAGAACCAGGAATCAGAGCAACTGTATGTTGTTCATCATGCTAATGGACAACAATTTAAGTATTTCCCAATTCGTGTCCATTTGGGTTTTCTATTTATTTTTTAATTTCGTTGTAGATGGACACAATACCTTTATTTTTGTTTTATTTGTTTTTATGTGGTACTGAGGATCGAACCTAATGCCTCACATATGCAAGTCAAGTGCTATACTACTGAGCCACAACCCCAACCCTATTTATTTACTTTTTTAATTAAAATATTTGTATGTAGTAAAGACACTCTTTAGGTGCTTCAGACCCATTGATAAAACAACCTAGAAAAGAGGTTCTCACCAATCTATAAACTTACATATTAGTCGTAAAAGACAGGCAAGAAGCAATGAGCTGGCATGTAAATATAAAGGAAATTAATGAGGATGCATGGTAAAATTACCTGTGATAGTGATGAAAGTTTACTAGGAAGGAATGGGTATACTAGCCTTGAAGATGGAAAAGCAGTTTGTACAGAAAAGGAGTGGGTATTTTTATAGCAGAGGAAATAGCAAGTACACAGACCACAAAATGGGAAACCCTTGTGTTTTAACAGATAGAAAGGTGACTGATGCATAGGATATAAGAACAGAGAAGGGGGACAGTGGCAAGAAAAAGTGAAATTGAGAAGGTAGATCAAGGGGAAAATCTTATAGTTCATGATAGTGATTCTGGATTTTATTCTTAAGTGCTGTGCTTTTTTACTTATTCAGCAAATAACAAAAGAGTGCCTGAAATGCATGATTGGATATATAGCAAGGAGCTCAAAGATGATTTCAATTCCCAGGTGTTTAAAAATCACAGAAGCCAGAATCTAGAGATTCCATTAATTCTCCCACTATTAATAATATTCCTATGAATATTCTTTTTAAAGTCATTACAAATGACCACCATTCTATATTAATTATAAGATAATTTTTTTACATCTATGTAATTTTTTCATATACATATATACATACATATGCACATGAACTAAATTATCATTATGAAGGATAACATCATACATTCACTTTTGGACTTGGCAGTAGTCATGATATAGATCTAAGAACCTTTGCATATATATGTGAACTTAGTTTTTATTCCTGCTAGCATGACTAAGAGATTGCAGCCCTCTGGCCTTTCTGTCATCATAACCACTAAGGACCATTCAAGTCTTAGCCATTATAATGACTTGCTGGTAAGCTAAAATAGCATTGTATGTGTCAGTGGCTTATAAGAAAATACTAAAGACCCATTTTTAAACAAATAATGTGTTACTGATGCCCTTGGCAGAAAAGAGGATGATGCTGTAAAAAAAAAAAAAAAACAACAAAAAAACACAACAAAGGAAAACATTTAACAAGTAGATAAAGTAATTCAGAAAGTTGGATTTGCAATGTCAAGAAGTTTTAGAAATACATTTACCATATTTGGCTTAATTATTTTCTTCTGTATAGTCAAGAGACATAACTGAGGATGCATGGTAAATTACCTATGTGATAGTGATGAAATGACAATAATGATGAAATAATATTAACAGAGGAGATTATTTTTTTCAATATGTACAAAGTAAAAATTTTAAGCAATAAAGCAGTGTGACCACTTAGTTGACAACATTTTTGTCTAACATGTTAGTGTTAATAAAATATTTGTGGTCTTATGTGGCCCCAACTCAGTACTTTTTCACCTCTTAACCATCACAGGATCTGAGGAGGGTCTAGTGTTAGAAAGAAGGTCTTAGAACATCAGAAATAATTGCTCTTTTAACTCAAAAGAGTCGTCTGCTAATCTATTTTTCTTTTTTGCACAAGTGACCATTTATTCTAAAAAGCTTTCTGGGTATTATATATTTGCTCAATTCTAGATATAGAAGACCTAAATTATTTGGATTCCTATGTTCTAAATTTTCTTAAAGATGTTGGTGAAAGAAGGGTCCTCAGGAAAATCTGTTATTTACACTTATTTACCAAGTGGAGAGTCCATTTTGAGCAGGGGGTGTAGATTGAAAGTTTATTTTTCAGACATAATAATTTCATATTTTAGCTAGACATGATAGCACACACCTGTTAATACCAGGGAGAACCTGAAGAAGGAGAATTGCAGATTTGGCACCAGTTGCAGCAACTTAGCCAGATTGTTTGAACATTAAAAAAAATGCTAGAGGCTGGGGATGTAGCTCAGTGGTCAGGGTGCCCCTGGTTTAGTCACCAATACCAAAACAAAAAATTAATAATTCAGAGACATCTTTTATGTAGTTTCAATGAGTTTCCTTCCGTATTTTGTTACATTTTTAATATATAGATTGAATTTGTGAAATAAATTACATATCTTTTTCACTTTATCTTTCCATTTTCTTCCTTATAAACATTTTTCTTGTTAATTTGAACATTCTCTTTCTTTGTAAGCCAGGTCTTATGTATCTTTATAAGTTTAAGAACAATTTTCTGTTGTATTTTGCAATTTATTTGGTCACAGGTGAATATAAACAAGATTTGTTCATATGGCATTAAGTACATCTTTTTATTTTACTTATTAATGGATTAGTTTTTTGTTCTCATTTGAGAAACATGTTCTCACATCTCAAAACAGGCTTTTGAGCTCTAAGGTAGTTTCTTGTTTATTTGTTACTGGGAATAACCCAGGAGTGCTTTGCCACTGAGCCAGATTCTCAACCCTTTTTATTTTTTTTATTTTGAGATAGTGTCTGAGGCTACCTTTGAACTTGAGATCCTTTTGCCTCAGCCCCCTGAATTGCTAGGATTACAGGCATGCAGTATAGCCACCTAAAATAGTTTATTTTTTAAGAAAACTAATAAGACTCCACATATATTATCAGTTATATATTTTCTTTCCAGGATAAAATGCAGGTTGACCAAGAAGAAGGAGTTCATCAAAAAGTTCATGCTGAACATACCCCAGAAGAGGAAATTGATCATACAGGAGCCAAAACAAAGGTTTGATTTTCTGTTTCTATAGTTTTATCTTTTGAGATTGATATTTTGAATTATTTTCTTTATAATGATGGTTTACATATTGTCCCATCTTCTCAGATATGGAACATATATAAAAATTTTAAATTCAACAATAAATATACCACTTAATGGTAAGTTTGAAATAATACTTGAATATTGTATGCAGAATTGAAAACTTGGGACTTGATGGGTTAATACACTTCATACTTTTAATGTTAGATTTATGGGAAATTATGGAAAACTTACAGCCAGAATGAATGTATTTCAATTTTCATTATTTGAGGCTTTATAATATGACCCTAATAATATGTGTATAATTTTATTTTTCACAGGAAAACGGAACAGATATTTCAGTAACTTTCTCATTAAAAGTTATACAGTAGGGCTGGTGTTGTGGCTTAGTGGCAGAATGCTTGCCTAGCACATGTGAGGCACTGGGTTTGATCCTCAGCATCCCATAAAAATAAATAAATAAAATAAAGATATTGTGTCCCATGTATAACTAAAATATATACATATATATAAGTCATACAGTATCAGAAAGCTTGAGGTGTGAAACAAGTCAGATGAAGGAAACTTAAGTTTGCAGTGCTCTGCAACTCACAGTTAACCACTCCAAGTGTTTGCTGCATAGAATATTTCTTTTTGCAGATACATTTTGAAATGTAAATTTTGAAAGGATAAATAAATTACTCCACTTTTTTCTTCTT